TCATGAAGATTGTGAATCGGTGCTATGTATGGACATGTCAAAGTAGCGATGTTACGCAGATTTTACGAGAAATGTTTCCGCCCTGATTTCGATCTTTGGTGAAGAATGGTTAGGGTTACTCGTGGAGTTTTACCAGGGTCTATTTTCTTATGATCTAATCGTGGAATGTGTTTCGTAGGTCCTTGACTTCTATATGAAAGTCACTTTATCAAGTCAAAGGGTTTTCGAGAATTTGGCTAGTCGTCGAGTTTAAGTTTGATATTGGTACATATTTTCTTGAAGCATGATTGCAAAAGAAGAATCCGCATAGTCCTCGAGATTATGTTTGTGATGGTTTGGGTATGTTGCTAGGGTTTAGAAAAATCTTATAGTTTGCTCTCTTTGAATTATATTTTAATGAGGCGTCACATTACCTAAATGACCTTAAGCCAACCGCTGCGAGAGTTTTCTTGGTCGAAAGCGCTTTCTCGATACCGAGGCAAAAAGTTTTTGAAGTACGGGAGTATACGTGAATAGTATACGTACCTACTCCCTCCTTTTCTTACGAAAGAAAACGGCTGAACCAACATTTTGAAGGATTGTGTATGTTTTTTCGTTCGAAAATTGGGTTAGTCGACAATCTAGGTTGGAGACTTGGAATACGTCTGCTTTTAAGAAAATTTCTAGGAACGAGTCGGTTTTAAGATGACGTTCGTGTTTCTAGTTCTTTCTATTTTTGGGAAGCGATATGAGTATGCCTGGCGATCGTTTCTCGGTTTCCCGAGAGGGCAAATCGGTTTGCAAGATCTACCTGAACAGTCATAGAAAAATAGCTAAAAAAAAATCGCATAAGACTAAGTTTGGTAGACTATTCGCCTAGATTCTACGTTTCCTAAAGTTCATGGAAATCTCCAAAATGATTTTATTTCTTAGTACCTTCCTATGAAATTTCCAAGTTGGATATACCTTAGTTTTTTCTCGAAGATTCAGGTTTTCCTTTTGTCGTGCCAGTACGCAACTTACGAATAGTGAAAATATTGGTCCTTTTCGGCCGCGTATAGGCTCAAACTTGTCTTGCGGTTTTCATCGATCCACATTTTTTGGTATTGGTTCTTATCTTTTGAAACTTGACATTTATCTTCGAAACTCGATTTTTATTTTCTCGTCAATAAAAAGGGTCAAATTACTGGTATAGTCGAGGCGACTAAGGTGATAAGTTAACTGTTGCTGTTTTAAACAATGAATTTGGATTCATACGAGAAAATAAGTGTTTGCAATTTTTTATCGTAAAATTCCAAATGTAACTCCAATCGAGACGAAACAAGACACGTTTTTGATCGAGATTAAAAGGATAACACAAAGATTGAAGCAAGGGTTAGGAAGATGTCCAAGAGGTCAAATAGGAGCAAGCCGAGGAGTGTTGATGGGTCTTTCTCGTTTTTGTCGGAAAATATCCATGGAAATTCTTATTGAGACGAAAAAAAAAGTATATCGATCGACACTCAAAAGGCACGCTAAAGGAGTAATCCACTTCGCCACTAAGTCAAGGTGGACTGGTCAACTTTGCCCAATGCGCGAATTGAAAGTTGTGGTTGATCAAGCTTACTCATTTTTGTTGTAAAATCTCAACGGAAACTCCGATTGAGATGAAATGAATCGAGCTTGGAAAGAGAAACTCAAGGAGTAGTCCACTATGGAGTCCTACGAGTAACATGTGTATGATTCACGAAGCTGTTGGTCATATTATTGCATGGCCTAAGCATAATGTGTTGAACAAGGCTCAGAGCTTCAACAAGAAGATATTGCACAACTGGTACAGGTTTTTGTATTGCATTCAAATACTAGTTAAGTTAATGACTTGTTGGCATGTCATGAGTTTGTTCTCTTAATATCGTCGACAGGGCTCGAGAACAAAATCTCTCAACAAATGCAAGCTACTGGATTTGTCTGATGATGGTGTAATTGTTGGTGAATGCCGTTGGTAGACTCAAGAAGCAAAGGCATTGGTTAATTGAATTCATCTCGGACCCAAAGCAGTTAAAGTATTTCTCGATGTGGTACATGGAAAAGGGACGTATTTATGGAGGCCTACGACGGAGCTGGCATACCTTAAGGACTACTTACATTCCTTTATGTCATGGCCTGCTCGCAAAATTGTCTTTGAGAACCCAACTTTTAACATTGTGTCTTCAGCAGGAACCGCAAGACAAATAGGAAAAAAAACTGCATCTGTAGGTACTAAGTCTCCTACTAGAAGAAGTGTTACTAAAGTTTCAAAATTAGGAGCAAGAACATCAACTCCTCCTGAAAAGTCTCTAGAAATTAATCAGGTAAATATTTTGGTCTTTTTCATTTATCAAATTCATTTCTCTCAGGGTTTAAATTAGTGTCTTTTCTAAACATGTCAGCTTAAGCATCAATTTAAACCTATACAAGCGAATAACAAGTGCAAACCGATGGACATTGGTGGGAGGAAACAAGTTGTTGCTGAAGGACGTGTGCACTCAACAGACACAGATCAAATGGTCCACTTTGTACAGTTGGATCTGGATGAAGCTAGAGTGTGGGTAGATGCAGTGGTCATAAATGATGCAGCAGTGTGGAGGAATTCAGATGAAATCGAGTGTTTGAAAGATGCACATGGTTCATCAATTGCATGGCCAATGATAAATTGATCATCTATTAAGCTGCTGTAAGTGTGGTTCTTTGTGTTTTAAACATGCAAATGTAATTTCTTATCTAATGGAATTTTTATTGTTGCATCCTACATGGGGATGAAGATCTTTCGTCAAGACTTACTTAGTTTCAAGCTAGGTAATGAACAAGAAGTTGAATTTTTTTATGAATAGGCTTATGACTATGTTATGTGTTTTGAAACAGGCTTGTGATTATGTTTTCTGTTTTGAAACTGCATCGTTATCCTTCTTCTGCAATGACTTATGCATTTGAAACTTATAATATGAATTGTGTTTATTTTTAACATATCTATTCAGAAAGAAGATAACCGAAAACTACCAAATAATAGCTCTCATAAAAAGTAACAATAGCAACAAAAACAGTTATTATCGCAGATAATAGCATTTGAAATTTCATATGAATTAAAGTATTATAACATATTTCACAGCTATAATTATAATTGGTATAGCACTTATAACCAGCACTAATAAAAATATATGATTACTATTCTAGAGGGCCCTTTCATGGAACAAAATATGTATCATAATCAATTTTTTGTAACAGGAAAAAATCTTGGCGTAGATACATTCATAATAGCACTTATTTTTTACTATGAAATAGGCATATTTCAAAGAATTTTAAAAAATGCTATCGTAAATGGGTACCTATGATGGTTGCCGCATACATGGTATTTATGAATTCGCTATCAAACATCTACCTTAGCATATTTCTCGCGCTAAGAATGTCCATATTCCTTGTAGTGAAAGCTAAATCCTAATAGCTTTAATATCTTTTCTTTTGTAACTAAAAAGCTTTAATATCTTTGCCTGTTGCATTTCAGGATTAATTGGTTGTATCGAGTGAATCAGTGTAGGACATCTGGTTGGTTGTTGGTCTGTTCTATTGGATTAAGCTTGAGTAAAAAAGAAAACTTGAGAAACTAGTTAACGATAATTCTATTGAGTTATAGAATAGGAAAATATCTATTTGAGATTCCTAATGAGTTTAGGAAATATAGAAATATATATAAAGAGATGCAAATGATGTTGCATAACTAATGCGATGAGAGATGAGTCTTTCTGATTGTGTGAGAGCTTAAGGTTTTTGAGAGAGTTTTCCTTAAGAGAGTTTGTGAGTTGAGTTCTTGAGTTTTGAGTGATTTTCTCAAGAGATTAATAAGAGAGGTTTCTTACTATTGAGTTTTTATATAAATCGAGATTCTATATTTGGTATCAGAGCTCTTAGAGCCATGGGACCAACTGATATTCTGATATTCTATGGTGAAGGTCCGTAGAGGTGTGCTGAGGGGATCGACGCGTGTTGAGTGGATATGCACGTTCGTTACATCTCACAACTTCACTGAATTCAAAACAAGACAGTTTTCGTATGGGTTCATTAAAGGTGATGCTCTATCATGTTATGGAGGGGAGATCTCAAGGTCTGGGTTTAGTAGATGGGATGATCTGAAAGTCAGCTTACTCAATTGGTTTAGTACGTCTGGGGAGGTACCGCTTGAACAAGCCAACTTGATTGATAGTTTGAAAAAGATTAGTCAACTTCTGAGACGTTTTAAACAAAGATGGAAGGAAAAAGAGGATTGAAAGAGATCTCGGGAGGAAAAGACATTTGAATCAGATGACGTAAAACATGTCAAGAATGATGACGGAGGAGATCTTTTGAATCTGTACTCAAATCAGATTATTCTAGATGTGAAGAGTGGTATGTTGATTATGGGTTATACATTGTTAGTGAAAGAAAATGATGGTTCAAAAAATGATTCCAAATCTACTGTGATCAAACCTAAGTCTGATTCAGACAAGAACGGGAAGAAAGAGGAAGGAACATCTACTGCACAAAAAAGAGAAGAAACGGATGATAAAGAGTTATTGCAGGCTTTCAAATTGTTTGACCATAACCAAACAGGTTATGTTAAGGATGATGATATGAGAAGGACTATGCTTAGCTTATTTGCTATCTCTCTGTGTTTCTCAATCAATGGTTCTGAGATCATGTCCACGATAAGCTGTAGAAGAGAGAAAGGATTTTCTCATATGGTAGAGATCATCGAGTGTGATAACATTGAGATCTATGTAGAGACTGTGGTCTTGATATATTGTAATGATCTCAAGGAAAAGTTGGTGGATGAAAGCATCCTCGAGATTTTTTCTCTACTCAAGGTTTCTTCAGCTATATTGTACAATGAAGGAGTTATATCATGCGTGGAGCACTTGTAAGATGCTTTATGGCTAGAAGATAAAGAAGATATCGTTGTGTCATGGCTTGATGAGCTTTGTCTTCTCGTAGAGTCAGTCACCTTGATTCACAAGACTGTTTCATCTGAACCGATGAGAGTTAGAACCGATGATATATTCTTGAAGCTACTCACTGGTGCAATACTTGCCAAAGATAACAAAGCTAGGGGAGAGATAAAAGTTGTTAATTTTTATTTACTTAAAGAGGAAATTGACCATGAAGTCTCAAAAGGTACTATCTACGGGAAAGATCGTGCTGCTCTCATGGGAAAGATCGCCAGAGAAGCTGATAACATGCTAAAGGATTTCTTTGATGGCAAGGAACCCAATAAAAGGACTAACCCTAATGAGGCTTTAGCTTGTGGTGCTGCGGTGCAAGGTGGTGAAAAACTAACCATATTCTTGATGTTGCACAGTTGAGCGTCGATATCACACTGGTGTGGGACTGAAATTCACACTATCGATTTCCGTAAATTAAGGAACTTAGGTAAAACCCTAGTTTCCCAGAGGTCCCGAATATCTGTTTAGCCAAACGCAAACAATCAGAATATGATAAAGACAGTGAAATAATATGAGAATCGAAAAGAGAGCAACGAGGTTTCTTATTCCAATTTTGCGTAAGAACGGTACAACAAGGTAAAACCCTTGGCCACAAGAGCTGACAGCGAGTTTCCTAGTTCTAGCAACCTAAGACTAAAACCCTAGTTGAGACACATCTCGATAACAAAAACGGAAAATCGCCTAAATGCTCTAAGTGCTGAGTTTTTCTGTTAGATGAGAGCTCTGAAAATTCATGCCCCTTGTTCTTGTCCTCGACCTTCTGCTTATATACTCCTTCTCTAGGCGGTTGGTCTTTCCTTTTCTGCCCTGATTTACGCTTATCGGAAATCTTCCATTTTTCTCGTTCTTTCCATTTTTCTTCGGAAAACTTCTATTTTATCTTCAAACATGACATTTTCCCACTCCTGCGAATAATGAGTAATTCGTCATCATATCTTTGGGCTGGATCTTGTCTAAAGTCGTGAGTGAGCTTTTATCGCATTTTACAACTTTCCGAGTCGTTTTGCGATTTAGCCATTTTACGACTTTAGATGAGATCGTTTCCTTATAGGATGTCGTTTTTGTAAAACATCTCGAGTTAATCGTATAGTTTGGTAATGTTCGATGTTTTGTTTAACCGTTGTTGTTTTACACGATTTACTCGAAGTTTTTTGGGGAAAACAAGTATTTAGCGGTTTTTAGTAAAATATCTCGAGCTAATTGTATAGTTTGGCAATGTTCGTTGTTTTGTCTAACCGTTGCCGTTTTATACGATTTAGTCGAGGTTTTACGGAAAACAAGCCTTTTATGGTTTTTATCGTAAAACTCCAACGGTGAGATGGATCGAGACGAAATGAGAGATGTTCCGATCACGGTTCAGAGTACAATCGAGTCGAGAGGCAAGGAAGGTTTGGTTCAGCACGCCAACAGGCGAGCTAGAATGGTTAGTTAGCCTCGCCAACATGCGAGCTGGTCGGGCAAGGCCAGCTCGCCTGTTGGTGGGCTGGACTGGATGGTTCAGCTCGCCAATAGGCGAGCTGGTCAGTGATGGCCAGCTCTCCTGTTGGCCAGCTGGACTTGTAAGTTCAGCTCCCCAACAGGCGAGCAGGACTGGACGGTTCAGCACGCCAATAGGCGAGCTGGTCATTGATGGCCAGCTCTCTTGTTGGCCAGCTGGACTGGAAAGTTCAGTTCTCAGACAGGCGAGCTAGTCGGTTGTTAAATTTCGATCGTTTCTCGTTTTCTTGAACCAAGATCATCTCGGAGAATATAAGGAGAAATAATCATAGACGTTGAGCTTGAGGTTATCATTTCCGACCTTAATAACAGCTTTACCATTTCGGGAAGTTTGGACGTTACTGCCGTGTTTTGCTAATTTGACCAATTTGGACAATCGTGGATTGTTATATTCGGTTTCCCGATGATTTCGAAGATCACGATTGTTATATTTATGGAATTCCTTTGTTCGGAAAGTCCTTAGATTTCTTCTCAAAGCTTTTTCGTATTTCTAAAACCTATTCTTAACATTGCGGAAATTTTTGGTCGTTGATTCTGCCGTAACCAATTTTGTCCCCAACAGTTAGCCCCCAAGCCCGTAAGAATCGTAGAGTTCATGCGAGTGGTTTTGAACTTGTTTGGCAAGTTTGGTAGAATTAGGCAGAAATTTAACGACCAAAAGTCCGAAGGTGAATAGTAGAATCTTGCTTATAAATATGTTGAGTAAGTTTTCAAATTCTTTACTAACTTCTTTCCACATAATTTTTCTTAGGGCAAAGAAAGTTTCTCTCTATTTCTTTCTCTCTTTGAATCTTTCTATACTTGTTTGTTAAGAAAGTCTTCTGAGCGAATAATTTCAGAATGCCCCATCCGTCAATTTTTGATCTGAGCGATCTTGATTGTTCCGGTGGTAACGTACTTCCTGCACCGGTTTTCTTAAGATTTACCGCAGGAAAAGAGGTCAAGAGATATTTGGAAGTCGTGCGTGCTGCTAAGGTCCCCAAGGCTAACTTCTGGGTTCCTTTGAGGCCTAGATCAATTAAGAAACAAGAAAGCCCAAGCCAGAGTACCGTTCGCTCTCGCATGATCCCAGATTCGGTGCAGTTTCGCCTTCCCGATTGTGGTTAAGATGCCAAGAATCCGCCACCGGATTACTCAAATTACCCTAAGGAATGAATTACTCTCTCAAATAAGAGGTTCAGCTGTAGTACTTGAGGATCGAATCCACAAGGAGCTAGGGAACCTAATAGATCTACTCAAATATAACTCTAGGTGAATACATAAATAGCAAAAACAATAAATGAGCAAAAAGGAAATATATCAATTAAGAAAGACAATTACTTAATCTAGAATTGAAACAAAGACTTTTAAAACAAAATGGAAAAGATGCTAGACTTAGGGTTTTTATTCGGATTTTTATTCATTTAAGATTATAATTCTATAGTATGCTATTCAGTTGCTTGCGAGATACTATCGAGCATTAACTATCTTGATTAACAAATTATTTAAACTAACGTTCAAATAAATAAGTCTAATGACCGGATGGTCACACTTGACAGTGCCGATCAATTATTCGATGGGAACATTGACGATACACTAAATTCATCATCGATCGATTTCTGTTAGAAAGATCGATTGATGAGTCATGTCAAGCAATACACACGAGTTAACATAAACTCACTAAATATTTCTAAATCATATCTTATCAATTATATTTCTAATAAATCTTAGCTTAATAGGGATGTGGTCAGGACTATCAAAATCACTTAAATGTATAATCTAACCTAAATAATCCGAGATTCAATGTTTCAAGTTAGCTACTCTAGAACCAAGAGCAATTAATGCATCCTCTTAATGAGTATCACAACTAGCAATCCTATAGTTGGGGCTAATTTATCATCGATCGGTTTCTGTTAGAAAGATCAATTGGTGAGTCTGGTCAAGCAATACACACGAGTTAACATAAAGTCACTAAATATTTCTAAATCAAATCTTATCAATTATATTTCTAACAAATCTTAGCTTAATAGGGATGTGTTCAGGACTATCAGAATCACTTAAATGTCTAATCCAACATAAATAATCCGAGATTCAATGTTTCAAGTTAGCTACTCTAGAACCATGAGCATTAATACATCCTCTTAATGAGTATCACAACTAGGAATCCTATAGTTGGGGCTAATCCCTCTAGAACCAAATATTTTTCAAAAGAACTGGCGAGAGGTCGCCTAAAGTCTTAGAAAAATATTTCGCAAAAGTCCGCCCGCGACTATAAAATCAGAAGCGCTCGGCGATTGGCCCCGTCGAGCACGCTAGCCCTCCTAAACAAACGTACCGACCCACTGATCCGTGATATCTTGATTATTTCATAGTATTAATCATCCTTTTTATGTTCATTTCAATCACTTTAGCTGCATTTAGAGTCCCTTTAGGTGCATAGCATATGCATGTGTGGTATTTAAGGTATGGAGAAGTTTAGGTTGGAGATTAGAGGGTTTAGTAAAAAGAAATGAAACTCACCAAGAAGTTTGAAGTGAACACACGCGGCCATGTAACGCGGGCCAGCACCAGGCCGTGTTTTTCGTCCAGAGATCATCGACCACATCACGCGGCCTGATCACGCGGGCAGGAGCAGGCCATGTTTTCTCACGAGCAACAATACGCGGCCTCCACACGCGGGCAGGACCAGTCCGCGTTTTCTTTCCCGAGACGCCTCTTCCTCGACCTCCACACGCGGATGGCACACGGGGGCAAAGTCAGGCCGCGGATCTGAGCCCGAGAGATCAAGATGGGGAGCATCAGGCCGCGGACCATGGACGCGGGTAGGGCCACGCCGCGGTTGAATCCGAGATTAAGTTTTCCATTTGTTTCTTGGGTCAAACCCGGGTTTGTCGGGCCGACCCGGTTTAAGTTTTAAGCTACTATAAATACAATCTCGACCTAATATTTAGGAGGATCTTCTTTTCTCTCTAAGAACACATTGAAACCTTAAAGAAAGATTGAATCTTTAGTTTCTTTTCTTCTTATTTCTTTGTGATTGTTTGATTAAACTTGCTTCTCAACATGATTTCTCTTAAATCAAGCATGGGTTTAAGGTTAATCATGAAGATTAGTGAGTAGACTCCTTTTGGATTCATGAGCTAGAGTGATTAAGGGTGATTAGAGAAGATCTAGGATGTTTGGTGTTAGATTTACTTGTTTCCTTGCTTGTTGAGGATTCTGAATGCCATTTTAGTCTTGATCATACTAAAATGGATCTCTAGGGATTTCCTGCCCACTAGGTGTATGATGAAATGCCTGAACCAACTCTTCAATGCTTTTAACTTGCTTTACCTAAGAGATTAGTTGCTAAAGAAGTTAAGATTGCCATTAGACTTGTTCTCCATGTTTGCTTTAGTAATATTCAACCTAAGAAATTAGATGCTTGAGTTGCTTTAGTAAAAGAACATTCATCTAGAGATAGAGCTTGTTTAGGATTGTGTCTAGCCATAAGGAAAGTGTATGATTGCTAGCTTGCCATCTTTAGATTGGATCTACATCACCCAAGATCAAATTTCTAGTCCCATGAGTCCTCTTGCTTCATTTTGAGAAAGAAATATCATCACTTTATTGCATTTTAGTAGTATTCTAGTTCAATATCATCTCACTTATTGGTTGCACTTAGATTGAGCATAGTCTTGCATTCCTTTTGCTTTAGGATCACTTAGAACTTGTTCAACATCTCTTATACTACATCTTTTGATTAAGACCCTTGAAAAGTCCTATTATCAATCCGCATACATCCGACTAGGATAAAAAAGCGCTATAAAAGAAATCCAAATTTTTGGTCAGCACACCCGGACAACTTAGAAATTGTTCCCGGTGAGATGCTCGATTCCAGCCAG